AAAAAGAAAAAAGAGTAACTTTCTAATAAAAAATGATTAGATAATAAATAATACTATTTTAAAACAAAAAATATTAAAAAATAAATACAAAAAAAAATAAATACAAGAAAAAATAAATACAAGAAAAAAATAAATACAAGAAAAAAAATAAATATAAAAAAAAATAAATACAAGAAAAAATAAATACAAAAAAAAAATAAACACAAAAAAAAAAATAAATACAAGAAATATTAAAAAAAATAAAAAATAAGATTCATCAAAAAACAATGAAGAATTACTAAAATATGATACAAACTTATCAGAAGAATATCTAAACAAAAAATACTTGAAAAAAATAAATACAAGAAATACTGAAAAAAAGTGAATATAAGAAAAAAAAAACAACCTATTAAAGAATAATACAAATTTGAAGTACTACCAGTAAGTCTACTAGAAAAATACTTAAATAAGAAAGAGTAAATACAAAAATACATAAAACAAAAGTAAATACAAAAAAATATACCATAAAAAAGAAAAATTTACCAAGAGAGCAATAAAAACTATTTCAAAAATTTACTTCAAAAAGCTAAAAAAACTTTTAAAAAATAATATCAAAGATTTATCTAAAAAATAAAAAAATAAATATACAAAAATACAAATATAAAAAAACTTATCTATATTTTAATACAGATCAGCATGCAAAAATGATAAAACTCTTTTCATAAATCCTTTACACAAATTTAAATAAAAATTTGTGCATCATAAAATTGCTTATATCTCAATAATTTATTAAAGAAATATACTTTTATTGCTTAAGAAAAATTGCTCCTCTTACTGTTTACATACAGTATAGGACAAAAAAAACTAGAAAAATTGCACGTGATTTAAAATTATGTGAAACTCGTTTGATTTAAATCAGATCTAAGATCAGCAAAATGCAAATCAGAAGCAATGTTGAATACTTACTTTTAGCGATTTGTAATTTGCAAGTACATTATAATTTTGTACACCCAAATAATAGCTGTATGACGGTATCTAAAAAAGAAGCCAGCAAGAAACTTTAGTATACCTGTGGAACAAAGGTATACATAGTACAAAAGAGCTTTATGCTTGAACCAGTATCCCCCGGTCTACTATTTACGACAATATAAAAAGGTTAAAAGTGCGTGGAAATGTTGACCATGCTAGAGGAAATGGTCGGCCCAAAAAAATTAGTAATGTTGCCTCCCGGGGAATTGAGAAGCAAATTAAAAAAGATTCGTCTATTTCAACAAGAACTTTAGCAGCATACCTATCAAGTATAGGTAATGACGTTTCATATAGAACAATTGGAAGGTATTTGGCTATAATAGGATATGTGAAAAATGTTCCACGAAAGACCTCTATGCTGACCAATGACCAAAAAAGAAAGAGAGTAGAATGGGCCCAAGCTCACCTTAATGATAATTGGAACAGAACTTTTTTTACAGATGAATCAGCCTTTCAACTCTTTCGAAATACGCTCAAGCATTGGCATAAAAAGGTCAACGGCCAATTCATCCAATTCCTAAAGACCATACTAAAATTAAAGTGTGGGGTAGTTTTTCAGTAAAGGAAAAATCAAGCTTATTTTGCTTTATACAAATTATAGACAAGAAATTTTATGTTGAAATTGTGCGTAAGCACCTTCCTGAAGTAAAAAAAATGTTTGGTAAACGTTAGCGTTGGCAACAAGATAATGACTCAAAACACACAAGCAAATTTGCTAAAGCATTTCTTTTAAAAAATGTTCTTGAACTTATGAACTAGCTATCGAACAGTCTTGATTTAAACGCTATCAAAAATTTGTGGTGCATTGTAAAAAATAATGTGGAAAAATGTATGCCATATAATTTGCAAGAATTAGAGCGATATATGAAAGAGGAATGGAATAAAATTCCAAATTCAGTTTTAGTTAGTTTAGTAGGATCAATGAGGCGACGATGTGAATTAGTAATTGAAAATAATGGTGAACGAATATCATTTTAATTTTTTAATTAATAAATCGTCTAATATTTGTCTACCAATTATATAAATTTTATATGATTTTATGTGATCATTCTCCTGTAATCATACAATTTTTGATTCTGGTTTTTTTTGTCCCACACTATATATCCTATAAGTTTTAAGTCTCTAGCTTGAAAACTCGTAACAAAAACGTAAAAAAACTAGTTTTGGTTTTTTAAACCAAACTTCTGCTTATTTCTCAAAAACTGCCTTTACAACTCTCTTGGGTCCTTAAAAGGAAGTTGTAGAGCATATTTGTCTGGTTAAAACAAGCTCTAAATAAAGGTTCTTGATCTAATATTGACTGAGTTACAACAAAAATACTCTTTGCTTCTTTTACAAACTCCTTGCAAAAATTTTTTACTTTTGCATCCACTTTTTTTCTTCAATTCGGTTTCCGTGTAACCTCAAATTACATCCAAAATTAGATTTAATTAATTTTCCTTTGTGTAAATTAATTTTTTCTTAAACAGTATTAATTTTTCTACAAAAAATTACTGGTTCCTTTTATTTTACACAAATTCTAAACCATTACACAACATTTTCACAATGTGTAACTAATTTTTGTACCATACTAGCTACACCAGCTACAAGCCACACTAGCCATACTTGTATCACCTTAGATTACCTAGGTTACACAAAGTTACACAAGCCGCAGCAGCCACAGTAACAGCCCCAGAAATAACATATTATTACCACTCAATACTAATTTAATAATCTAGCCAAATAACTTGAAATTTTATTAAGTAAAAGAAACTTGTATCTTTAAATAAACATATAACCAACCTTTTATAATTTCTACCCAACTATACTGTGTACTACGAAACACAATGCCTACTTCTGTAGCTCAAACTCCAGACACTCTAGACCTTGATTACTTTTACACCTACTATGCCAGATCTTTTGGTATAGCAATTTATGAAGAAAAATCTGACATAATCAATGCTATCTCTACTAAATTTCAACCTGTCACCTGTTTTACCAAGAAACTTAAAAACCATCTAATAACACATTTCTTACCTATTTCACCAACTACCCAAATAGTCACATATCTATGTGGCAGTTTTTATACAAACTTTGAGTCTGAGAAAAAGCAAACTTATAATATTTAAGTAACTGCTAGTTCTACAACATCTAATAGACAAACTAAAAAGCTTAACTCTATATTACAATCATCAACTCAAACAGTTTCAGCCTCCCCAACTCCTATTTCCGAACAATATACATGCCCTAAATGCTGGGGTACAATAACTTGCAAGAAAATTAATAATATTCACCATCTTACAAATGATGCCATATTCCAAGACAATAATGCAT